TAGGACAATCCAGATATGGATCCCGTTCTCACTTTGCCTAGACGCGTATCAGCTACACCCAGGGGCGGACTGAGAACCCTCAGGGCCCCCGGGCAAAATAAATCAAGGGCCCCCTTACAGGCCCCACCCATACTCTGCAGCAAGCGCCACCCTTGTCCCGCCTCCATGCACCGCCTTCAGCCACACCCTACACAATCTTTAGACACAAGGAACAAAAGGGCAATAAGCCCTTCGAGGCCCCAGTAGAGACTACAATTGAGGGCTAATGGGCCATGGAGGGGGGTCTTTCTAGCGGAGGCTATCTCAGTGTCCTTTAGAGAGTGTGTTAGAGAGAATCCCCTCCAAGCCCCATTAGAGACTACAATGGAGTCTAAAAGGCTTGGAAGGGGGTCTTTCTAACAGAGGCCATCTCAGCGTCCATTAGATATCCCTTGCTGGAAACAGTCGCCTCCAGGCCCCAGTAGAAACTACAATTGAGGGCTAATGGGCCATGGAGGGGATTTCTAGCAGAGGCTAGAGTCTAATGGGGCCTGGAGGGTGGTCTCTCCAACACTCTGGTTCCTATTCACAATATAGCAACACAACATAGCTCGCTGATACCTAAGCCAAGTTGGCTCTCTTACCTTAATTACTGTTGCTGGCTGGCAGTCTGTGGGCTTGCTGGCTGCGGCTGGCAGGCTGTGGGCTTGCTGGCTACTGCCGGCAGGCTGTGGGCTTGCTGACTGCTGCTGGCAGGCTATGGCTTGCTGGCTGTAAGCCTGTGGCTTGCTGTAGGCCTGTGGGCTGGCTACTGGCCTGTGGGCTGGCTACTGGCCTGTGGGCTGGCTACTGGCCAGCCTGTGGGTTGGCTGGCTGGCTACTGTGGCACTTGTAGATTATTTAAAGAAATAATCCATGCACAATAACCACTACTGCTCCAGAGTAAGTAGTCAAACCGTTTAAGAACAGTTTGACAACTTACCTGGGGTCTGCTGGGATATGAGGCTGTAGTAGGGAATAGGAGCAGTGGTGCAATGTGTGAAAGGTTCAGTGTGTGTGTGGGGGTGTAGTGTGTGAATGTGTAGGGTGTGTGGGCAGTGTATGTGTGTGGCAATGTTAGTATGGGGGGCTGTGTATGGGGGTCTATGTGTATATGGGTGGGCAGTGTATGTGTGTGTGTGAGGCAATGTGTGTAAATGTGTATGGTGTGTATGGGGCAGTGTGTGAATGTGTATGGTGTGTGTGTGGGGGCAGTGTGTTTATGGGGCTAGAGTTCACTCTCACCACTGCGACCACCAGGAATCCATGGGGTTACAGTGTTGAGAGTGAACTCTAGCCCGTAGCTCCAGGGCTAGAGTTGACTCTCGCAAGAGCAGTAACGTTGCCATGGTAACCGCGGCAACGCTCTGTGCTCGCGCAAGAGGGACCCAGAGGAGCTGCAGGGTGAGCTCCCAGGTCCTCTCTTCCTCCCCTGCCCGCACGGTGCCTGCGGACAGGGGAGGGGGGGCATTCTTCCCTCTCTTTCTCCCCCCTCCCCATCTCTCTATTCCCCCTCTTTCTCCCCGTGTCTCATTCTTCCCTCTCTGTCTCT